CCTTTGGAAGGTGGAAAAACAGATCAGCTCACATCCTGGCAGGCAGCTCTTTTAGTCAGCCCCCAGAGATAAGAAGGAGTTAAAATCTGAGCAGAGAGTGGAGAGGCAGCACAATAAAGTAACAAATGTGGGATGCCTCAAGCAGGTCAGGGAGGCCCTAAGAAGCCCTGCGGAGGTTGCACACAGATGGATCTCCCCCAGTTGCTGAATATCCTGCTTGGATTATGACAGGGAGAATATTAAACTCCTAAGTGGAGCCTCCCTGACCCCTTTCCTCCCAGAGGCATCTACGTTCCTTACCTGGTACTCCATCTGCTTTACAACCTAATGCAATTGATTAATGGTTGCAACCAGGAGTGTTGAGATTATGGTCATTGAGGAATGCAATAACATGGACAGTCATGCTATGTCTTGCTTAATGATTGCTTCACTCAGTGACTGAGATTCCGGTCCCAATTGTGTTAATTAAGCGAAGACTACCTGTACTAATTGAAAAAGCATATTGGAAAAAGAGATTGACGAACACCTTTTGCTACTGTTGCCAAAAAAAACTGTATGGGCCATGTAGCACCAGAGCTGACCTGAAGTCTAAGGAGACTTTTATAGTAATCACATTTTAGGTGGTATAAAATTATATGAGAAAAGAGAATACATAATAGCTGAGAGTCAGGAAGAAGGTACCAATGCTGGAGATGTCTTTAGTGGCAGCAATAAGGAATAAAATTTGCATCATGAGTCAACAACTGCAATTTTTCTTTTTGGATAAGATATGGATATAAGAACATAAAGATGGAGTTTGCATCATGATGTCATTCTGTGCATATTGATATTCTGACATAGTCTTGGTTTGACCTGAACCAGTCTTAATAGTTTTAGTGATATTTGCCAGACGTAGTTATTAAACTTGAAAGATTTTATTTATTTTGCTTTTTCCCCAATGCAGATATTTGTAGGCTGCTATTATAAGGTTATGTTATAAAGTAACCTATTGCTATTAAACAATTTTTAAGAAATATAAGTAATTTTAACCGATAACAAAATATATATTGAATGATTATACTTTGCTTTTTTCCCCCATAAAATCTGAAACTTTAGGTGACCAGTTGAAATCTCTCTCCATATGTATGTGTACACAGTGTCATTTCAGATTATTTATAAAGCCCTGGGCACTTTTAAAATGCATTAACCATTGTGTTAAGATCTGTTAAGCTTCTTCCCTGTATGAAAAAAAAATCCAATTGTGAAGAATTATAATTTTGAAGAATAACAGTGATATAATTCAGCATTCAACAAGATATAATTATAGCGAACTTGCAGCAGAACTAGGTAAAAATGAAAAATGTACTACTTCAGACTAGAAAGCTTGTGGCCAAAACATGTCAACCATGATAAAGAGGACTCTCAACTGAATCCTGTGTGGGTTGAAGGAATAAAACCTAGAATGAATGGAAAAGGGCCAATGTTTCTCTCTGCAAAAAGAAAGGGGGGGGGAAGATTTGCTCAGGAAAGTATGGGCCTATCCTTCTGTTACTTCTACATTGAAAAAAATACCATGATAATTAGAAATCAGCACAAAAATAGACATCCGGTGCAAAAGAGAAGAGTAGAGATTGTCTGGTTTGGTCATAGCACATATCAAGTGGTTTTTGGAATTGCTGAGCACAAGCACAAGAATGAATAAATGGTGTGACATGGCTTGTAAAAAGAAAAATGCAGTTTTATACCACACCAAAGTCTGATTTTGAAATCACCAGAAATAATAATGATTCCCTTGTATTTTGTACTGATAAAAAAATCCCACTTCAACTGTGACTGTATTTTCAAAAGAAGGTAATAAAAAAGATCAGGGGACTGAGGAACTGGCTATAAATAGCACTGAGAAAAGGTGAGTGTATTGGTAACACTTTTGAAGTACATAGAGAGGTGCTATGCAGAAGAGAGGAAACACCTGTTCCCTATTGTTTTAGAACAGGGGTGTCAAACTTGCAACGTGACGTGAAGTGTCGCAATGTATCATGACTTTTTCCCCGTTGCCATAGCTGGGGTAGGCACGGTTTTGGCACGACGCATCCAGCCCATGGGCCAGCAGTTTGACATCCGTTTTAGAATATCAGGCATGAAATAACTGTCTCGAGTTACACAAAAAAAGATCCTGATTAAACATTATGAAAACTTCAAAAGAATAAGAGAAGCTTGTCGGTGGTGTTTAGGAAGAGGCTGGGTGGCTTATGGAATATCCCAAAGGTGCTTTTCAAGAGGCAACTGGACTTTGTTTTTCTTTGAAGAAGTTTCACTTCTCATCCAGGAAGCTTTTTCAGCTTCTTCAGAGCCAAACATCCAGTTGTCTCTTGAAAAAGCACCTTTGGGACAACCATGACCTATATGACTGAGAATCTCCACAGATTTATGGAAGAATGTTATAGATTCAGAGGGCACAAAACATTATGTGTATGAAGTGCTCTTGTATGAAACAGTTGGTGGGGTGGTATGAACTGAAATATGCACGCATATGTGTTTATACTCTGAATAAAACAGAATTCTTCCCCATGTTGGTTAAAATATAATTGTTCTCAGTAGAGATGGTTTGGGGAGGGAAGACTGAGGAAAAGCAATGGCTGAAGTGTTTCCTAAGCAGTAGCATGTATAGTTATCACTAGTGGCAGCAATCACTGAGGGGATACAAGGAAAATGTGCAGAGTTTGTGAAATATAATGAATTGTGACATTGGTGACAGTGGCTAGGAGGGGGAAGCAGATGGTAGGTGGGAGCAGATGGCAGTTGAGAAGATGGTAGGTGGATGAGCCAGTTAACAAGCCATGTAGAGCAGGGTGTCAAACTGCTGGCCTGCGGGACAGTTGCATCATACAGAGGCCATGCTACCCCAGCTCCGGCAATGCAAAAAAAGTCACGATACATCACATGCCGTGGCGCGTTTGATACCCATGAGGTACAGGAAGAGAGGGATGAAGCATAATAGCCTTGCCCTGCTCCCACTGTACAAATTACTCTGGGACAGAGGTCCCCAACCAACTACCCCAACTACCGGGTTGCAGCCTGTTCAGAACCGGGCCGTGGAGGTGGCAGGTGAGCACATGCTCATCTCCACTTGTGCGAGTGGCGGACGTGCATGCCCACTGCTTCTGCGAATAGAGCTGTGCTCATGTGGAACCATCCCCTCTCCCCCTCCACCAGTCTGCAAAGCCAGAAGGGTTGGAGACTGCTGGTCTAGAATACCTCTATATTTGGTTTTGGCTGAACCAAACTTTTCTTTCTGCCTAATCATAATTGAACAAAAATGGTTGGGCAGAGCTTCCAATATATGGTGGTTGTTTCGGGTTTGAAACAAGAAATATTTTCCATTTGTTACATAATCTCTAAAATTCATGTTTTCCAATCTTCCCATTTTAAAAAAAGTTCTAGATAAGTTAACAGATTTTCAGTTCCAGATTTCTAAAAAATTGGTTTGGATATATTTATATTTGATTCTGATCATATTATGGAACATAAACAGTTAGTTCTAGTGAATGAACTTAACTATAGATTGAATTATATTATTGTAGCCTGTCATCACTTATCCTCACTAGTCAGAGTCTCACTTATTTATATGTTGATAGAAGCAAGGTGTTATTATAGTTCTGGCTATGTTTGGATGGTCAGTCAAAGAAGACTGTTGAGTGAATTCTATTTCATTCTTTTGGTCATTAATTTTATGTTGTGGTTATTTCATATAATGTTAAACCATATATCAGAATCATTTTAATGAAGCCTGGTGTTAGAAATGTTATGCCTTTCTAAAACAAAGTAGCGAATGGGAAAAGAGTCTTTCACACAGTTCACTGTGTGGAGTAGGTTGAAACAATCCTCTTTATTGCCTTTTTCATGAAGACAATTCTAAAGTTTTATATAACCCATTTGAGGCTGTTCATCTTAGATATAAAGGAGAACCAAACTGAGAAATAACAATTTGCTTTTTAGAAAACAATTGAGGAGTAAATAATTGTTCAATTGTATGGTTAAACATGCTCTGGATTCTGATTCAGTTTTTTTAATTTTTTTTACTTTTATAACTTCTAAAAATTTTTACTTGGTGTTTTATTTCAGATAAATGATATTCTTGTATCAAACAATTATAAGGTTACTGTTTAATTTCAAGAAAGATGATATAAAACACTGAAAAGTTATGCTTCTACCCTGGTACTGCTGCTACGGCACTGCTAGGAATGTTTGTGAAAAAGTTCTTTGCTAAGCAATTGTTCTCATATCATGAAAATTATCAAAAAATTAAAATCTTAGCTATAGTGGTTAAATTAATTTGACTCACAAGAAGTTTTACACATGGATTTTATTCCAGCATAAGTAACATAAAATGAAAATGTCAATCCACAAAAAAGTAAGCAATGAACTATGTATTAGTCAGGAAACATTGTGCTTACTGTAGTTTCTTGGAATTAAAAAAGGAGATATAAATATAATAACAAAATGTTAAGCATATTTAGCCAATAAGCAAAATCCAAGAGTATTTCTAAGAAGGGATTGCTATCAGCATGTGGGATTCTTTCTCCACCTCCTACTGCAGAGCCCCCCAACCTTTTGAGCACCAGGAACCTGTTCTGTGGAGAGACATTTTTCCACAGACCGGAGGGGGCTTGGTTTCATGTGCTGCCTGCATCCCACAGATGGGACTTCGCTTGTTTGCGTGGCTCGGTTTCTGGCATGCCGTGGATCGGTGCTAGTCCATGGACCAGGGGTTGGGGACCCCTGTCCTATTGTCCTTGTTTTCCCCATCTCTGGTCAAAGAATTGGTTGAATTTTCAAGACCAACATTGGTAAATGCAGGAGAGCAATAAGTGAGGTAAGGAATCCACTATGCAAATAGAATTCTGTTTTCAACACGAAACATTTCAAAGCCGGTTAATTTCTTGTATACTATTGACAAACATACAAGTTGGTTACAGCACATTTTTAAAAAATATTTCCTCTCTTGCCCCTCATCTTTTAAGATTGAAAACATAGACGTGTGCCTGAGTTTTCTGGCTGCCAAAGGAATAAATATACAGGGACTATCTGCAGAAGGTAAGAATACTTTCAAAGTGAATTTTATTAATCTGTGGGAAATTTTCTATCTGCAAATGTGATTTTCAACAGGAAAAAAATAAATGAAATAGAAAGAAATCTGGCCTAGGCTGATTAACATTAGCAAATCTTAGTAATGATAATAATATACTATGTCACAATAGCTATTAATTACCTTCACTATCAGTGTGTTATATAATAATAGCAAGCTGTTCATGCTCTAAGGGATTTAAATTTCAACATTCATCACAGGGAAAAGAAGGAGGAAAGCATGATGAAGGTTTAGGTAAACATGGGAATACTATGTATTCATGTCATTTCTTCTAAAGCTTAGGTTCAACGCTTCAGGTGCGGATTAGAGAAAGATTTTGAACAGGCCCACCGCTCAAATCCAATTTCAGTATGTTAATAAAAAAAATCTAAAAGGCTTTGGAGGTAAATGCAAGAAATTCATTATAGATCTTGAGATATAAATATTTAGAGAGAACGGTCACATGTCAGGACAATACAAGAGGCTGATGATTTTGAGATGGTGACAATGAAAAATTCTTAGATGGAATATTTCACCATGAAAAGCCCAAAAGGGGAAAATTATTGCATAAGAAAAAAAAATGACTAGAAAGCCATGTAAGAGCTATTTGTAGAAAAAAGCAACAGAAATATATTAAGCAATGGTTGAATTACCTTATTTTTACTCAGACAAGATCTGGTGGACTTTTTGCAGTAAAGAAACTCAAGTCATTTATAAAAACAGTTGCCTCAGATACAGTCTTGATTCATTCAGCTCAATATTATATTTTGTGGTGACCAAAGATAACAATCGGAAGTAGTCTAAGACTTCACAACATAGTGTTTCTCAGCTTCACCTGGGATGCCAGAATTAAACAGGAATGTTTACATATCTACTTTGTGCTATACCCCTGAGCTATAGCCCATCCATTCTTTTTTTCTGGATAAGATTGCTGGATATTAACAAGTGGGCTTTTGAAGTAATTGAAATGCATGTTAATTAGAATAGCATAAATTCACTTTTTTCCATCTCCGTTCTACTACTGTCCTTTCATTGTTTTCTTCATTTTATTTATAATGAAGAGTTCCTGCTTCCTTTTCTCCTTTCTTCATATAAAAAAAATACTTTCACATCTGTTGGGATCTAATATAGGTCTATTTCTGATAGTTTTACTAATAGATATATTATTAGGCTAAATCTGTAAATGCAATACCATGTTACCTTGACAAAATTAATGGGTGTTTACACTGACATAGATAATCTAGGTCGAAAAATACATTTTATTTCACAGGTAATTTAATTCATGCTTTGCTTTACTTTGATTGGTTGGTTTGGTTCCGCTTAGCGAAATACTCTATGTAAAAATTTCTGGCTTTTACCACGTTGTGAGCATCCCTACTTTTGTTTTTCCATGCTGCTTTGTGTGCTCACAGGATGATTGGTCTGGCACTGAAAAGCATTTGCATGTTTATCTCAGTTCTAAAGTGAACTTTTACTTTCACTTACATATTTGTAAGCAGAAATCAGTTTAAAAGAAAACTCTTCAATTAAGTGGCAGTTAAATCTCCCACTGTATGTCTTTCTCACTAATCTCAGATGGAAATCAAGGTGAGACTATATTTTTTTCTTAATTACTTATCTGTGAGACAGGTTGCATGAGCTGTGGGTCTCTCTCCAAACCATGCAGTTTTTCTTTCCAGACTATGTAGCACCGTTACCTTGACAACAAAAGCAGCCGCCCTACCATTGAGTTCACACAGCCTCTTGAGCCCAAATGAATTTGAGAGAACGTTTGTATGTGTCAGCTGCCAGAATGCTTATGGAGAAGATTCACAACCCAGAAAAGTCCTCCCAGCTGACAGATTTTCTTTTTTCAGTTGTGGCACCCAGTTTGTAGCCTGCCAACAGAATTCCTTGGTTCTGAGTATTAACTCTATGATTACTGGGAAGTCCCAGCTTCATTTGCCAGTGAGCAGTGAGCTGTCTTCCATTCTCTGGTTGATTATATTTATGCACGAAGGAGGAATATTAAGCGAGCAGACATGGCAGATAGCACTGGATTCTCAAATGTACATTCAAGATATCCTAGAATGACCAGATACAAGTTTCTGTGTTTCTCTGAATAGATTATGAGGTTCATCATTTTTGAGAATGATTAAGTACTTCCAGTAAAGCCTGATTAATACCTCTCTTTATATTCTCAGAATCTAATGACTCACGGTTGATTGGCTTGTAGGAAAAATTCTGTTTGGGGTTAAATGTCGAATGGCATAAAGATACTTGCAGAGATTTTTGAACAAAGCCTGCACAGTTTCTACGTTCACGTTGCTCCACCTCCTTCTTGTCGGCTTTCTGCATGGTCTTCCTTTTGTCTCACTTGAGAGCTGAGTGATTTTACATCTCGAGAGGAAAACAAATATTAAAATGTAACAACAGAGCAAAGGAAATCGAAGCAACCAAAGAACTTCACAGCATGGAAGTTTCCAAACTCCAGACTGAAAAGAAACTCTCTGTGCCTTAAAAATGGTGACATCTGGCAGTATTTTGTTTTCAGCTTAAAAAACAACAACCACCCAAATCCTTTTTTGTGGTCGGAATGGAAATGACTAATTATAGACTCACAGGATTGAAACTTGGAGTCTCTGTACTTAAACAGCCCTAAAAGGGAAGGAGGTAGTAAGAGGAAGTAATTCAGACCAAGCTTGATGATCCCTCTGTATACAAAGTCCAGTTACAAGATGCCAGTGAATTACCTCAGTCAGTTTCCTGAGATAAGAATTTTGAATTTGTTAGGCATATGCATAACAAAGTCCAATGGCGGTTTGCTTTTCCCAGGTTTCAGCTTTATTGCTAAGACCTCTGAAGAACCAATCTACTGAAACTTTTAATTGCATTTGTTCTTAATGGCATTTTCCTGTACAGTCAAGTCTCAGAGTATTAGAAGTTTACACGACCCCTCTCACATGTTGAAAGTATGCATGAAAAGGTCCACCCTGGCTGACCCACTCCTGTTGCTGAGACACACCAAGCCTTGCCAGTTGCCAGTTTCATGTTTGCATGAAATAAATACAATGTATGCAAAGATGAGAGAGACAGTTTCTTGATACTTACATTTATTTGTTTTCTGTATATGTGGGGATCTTAATTCTACAGTGGTCCTGGATGTAGCCTTCAGTAGGCTAGGGCATTTGTTCTCCAGAATATTCTGAAAATTAGGAACAACAAATAATCCAAACAAAAGTGTCAAAGGAAACAAAAAAATGGATAATAATTTGAATGGGAGTTTATTATTTCTTACCAGAATATTTTGTCAGATCTTCCTGTAACTATTTCATTCAATATACAGTTATTTGCCTTGACCCTGAACTGAAGTTATCTGGAAGACCATGGCCACAAAGAGCAATTTACATTACCCTCTATCTGAAAAGAAAAAAAAATATTATTAAATTCTTTGGAGGATTTTGTTCCTGCAAGGATTGTCTATTTTGATCAACTGGGTCTTCACAGAGCCTGAGCTGAATAAAGAAAGTTGAAATTTAGCAAAACATTTGTTGAACTGGGTCATCATGCAATTCATGTTATAAATACTTTTTAAATTGCCTTTCAGAGATCAGGAATGGGAATTTAAAGGCCATCTTGGGCCTTTTCTTTAGCCTATCGCGTTATAAGCAGCAGCAACAGCAGTCCCCAAAGCAACATTCAGAGCACTCTCCATCTCAGCAACCACCCACCTCATCCCAGCAAGCAAGCTCTCCATCCCCCAGCCAGGTGGGACTACCTGACCAGCAGATACAACCACAACCCCTGGTGCCAGCTTCACCTCAGACTCAGTGCCAACACTTCCAGCAAGCAGCACAGCTTCAGTTAAAAGCACAACCAGAAATGCAGTCCAGGTGAGTGGGCTTTTTCATCTCCCCCAACCATCGCTTTTCCAAAGCATTTCAAAGCAGGTTATTTCAATATATTTCTACCTAGAGCAGATGCACCTTGTAAGAAGGACAGGGATCAGCTATTTTTTTTTTCAAGCTCTGGCCATTGTCTTATGAGATCATGTACAAATAGTCTTCACTTAACAATAGTCATTGGGACCAGACGTTCCACTGCTAAATGATGCAGCTATAAAGCACAATGTCACATGACTGCACTGCTTAGCAACAGCAGTTCTCAGTTATTACCATTAAGGGAAGACCATGCGGATTCTTAAGCAAACCTCAGATGACTGTAATGTCCAATTTCCTGCTGGCTTCCCCTTTTGAAGATGGCAGGGAAGGTCACAAATCATTATCACATGACCATGAGATGATGTGACAGTTGGAAAACAAAGTCCGTTATGAAGTGCCTGGATTGCTGTCATGTAACTGTGGAGATGCTGCAGTGGCCAGAACTTCAAGGACCAATCATAAGTTGCACTTGTTCAGCATTGTCACAAGTTTGAACATGAGGATCACCTGTAATTGCTTCTATGCTTTTCCAGACTGATAGAAATCTTAAAAGGGTGATAAAAAAAATATCAGCATGAGATCGCACAAATATTCTTTTTTATTATATGAGATTTATGAGGTGTCACTCAAAATTACCAAAGTTCCATGACCTAGGGTGATCTTGTAAACCTTTGGCCATTACCATTTTCATTTTGTTCTTTTCATTTTTTTTAAAAGTTGTGGAATGTTCTTTTTTTTTTTCAAAATAATAATGTAATTCTACAGATTTCAAATACTCTGAAGGAGCATTCAATGCCATTTTGCTCATAGACACTATGTCAATAATACATGGGTTTCTGATCCTGGCAGTTGGTTTGAAAACCAGATCAATTTTGTAAGGAAATGGAGCAAAATAATATATACTAGAAGATAGAAAACTCCAATCACTTTGTTCAGCTTTTCAGCAATGGGGAGAACTGTATTTCAGGCCTGCCCTCTGAACAGCTGATCATGCCATTATTGTTTTGCAACTGGACTCCATTTGTGCAGTCTTGATAACTGGATTGTAGGGGAATGACCTGTATGCACAAAAGCCACATATGCCTAGGATTCCAGTCATGGGACTAGGGGCAGAAATTGCTTTCCAGAAATATGTATTCCTTAATTGGGCTGGAATGAATATATGCAAAGTCCACTATGGTTGTGGTTACTGACAAGAGAATTCCTTCTTTAATTCTTTACACAACTGCGTGTGCTTTATTCTGCTGTCATTACAGTCAGGTAATTGGATCTTCCAGTGACTGGAGATGATTGGATTTCCCAATGTTGTTTTTCATGCTTTAAAGCAGTTGCCAGGATAGAAGGAAGAATGCTTGGCCCTATGCTGATTCGTCATTGAAAGCCCTTCGCCTATAAACAGCTATTAGTTTTGCAGGAGATGGGGAAATATACAACATGGGGATACTTGTCTGTTTAACTGCAAAACAGTGGTGAATCTTTTAAAAACAGGATCCTGATGCTTTTGCACTTGTAATACGGAGGCTGGGGCCAGTCTTTTTAAATTTACCTCCCCCTGAAACATTCAAAGTATTTTTATATATAAGAAAAACTTACTTTCCTACAAGAAATACAGTTAGCGTTATTTTCAGCATAGCACAATATCTATCTCTGTCAGTAACAAAATGAACCTGAGCTATAGGTTTGTGTGTGAGTAAATATGAGGATCATACACATTGAATTTTACCATTGCTTTCTTTATTTTTTACATGATGAGGATTTCTTCAATTCCGTTTCACGAAGCTGTCTTTAGCAGGCACCCTCATGTGGTGAAATTTGGTATTTATCACAATAATAATAATAATAAAATTCTCTGATCAGGCATGCCTCATCATATCACCCTATGGGGGTTTTACCATTTATTTTTACAATATAAATTCACTTGTGAAGTTTTGCAAAAAGTTTATGTGATTGTGATATAAATGTCCACTCTAACTCTTTACTGTCATTGCTTTGGTTCATACACTTTTTTTTAGTAGGGATCATGTCTAGACATTTGACTGGGGTGAGCAACATTATTTTCTCCTTTGAAAACATCTGGATAAATTATTTTTCCATACCTTTTAGTTCAGAGGCTTTCTATATTAATATTTCTTCTTTACTCACTTGCATCTTTCAATTTTTTTTCCTTTCTTATTGTACAGTGCATCACCCAGGGACTCATCTCAAAGCAAAACCATCCGATTCACTCTCGGTCAGAAAAAGAATTCTAGGTTAGCGTTTCTTCCTCTAATGTAGAGCATGGATAACCCCATTTGCAACAGTTCCAGTCTGCATGTTTCAGGCCTCACCAATGCTTTACCTGTTGATTTTAAACCAAATATTATGAATAACCTGAGAAAACTCTTTTTTTTATTAGCTGACTGATTAGTGTCTTACTTAGTCCCTTACTACTTCTTCTAAGTAAAGGTGTTCTAGTAGCCATTTGGTTTCTATTGATCTTTATATCAGAAAATAAGATATAATAATAAATGTAATATATCCAGATTTATTACTACTGTAGCTTAAAGATGGATAGCTCTAGTTAAGGTGAGAAATGAAACTTCCTGTAAAGGGAATATCTGTGAAAAATGACACAATCAGTTGAGATTGATGCAAAGCGTGTTTAGGGCAGGAGTGCTTTTGTAGGGAAAGAAAGGCTCTTGTGGCTGGTGGGCCTGAGCTTGCACACTGTATGGAGGCATGCATCTCAGGGGAGTTAGAACAATCAACCAGTGGAACAACCTGCCTCCAGAAGCTGTGAATGTTCCAACACTGCAAATTTTTAAGAAGAGACTGGACAGCCATTTGTCTAAAATAGTATAGGGTTTCCTGCCAGGTCTCTTCCAACTCTGTTATTCTATTCTATTCTATTCTATTCTATTCTATTCTATTCTATTCTATTCTATTCTATTCTATTCTATATTCTATATTCTGTATTCTGTATTTTGTATTCTGTATTCTATACTCTACTCCACTCCACTCCACTCCTATTCTATTCTATTCTATTCTATTCTATTCTATTCTATTCTATTCTATTCTATTCTATTCTATTCTATTCTATTCTATTCTATTCTATTCTATATTCTATACTCTACTCCTATTCTATTCTGTTCTGTTCTGTTCTATTCTATTCTATTCATCATAGGGTTGAAAAGGACCTTGGAGGATTTCTAGTACATAACAGTAATGCAACTGTCTACGTCAAATCTGAATTATATTTTTGTTTCAGCTTATTAAAATGGAATAGGGCACACTACTAGTGCCAGTCCCAACATCATTTTGGGGATCTTCTTGGATATGGGTACCTGAACTGCCAAAGCACAACGCATGCTTCCATGCTCTCAGTCCAGGGGATCCCAAACACATAGAAGTCTTTATATATGTACAGCTCCTCCCACACAGGTAGATGTTAGCATTTCAATTGCTTTCACAAGAGCACAAGTATATGGAGGCAATGTGGAAGTCATCTCATGCTTTCTATATATCATCTAGCTATGATGGTGTAGTGGTTAGAATGTAGTATTGCAGGTTCTGCCCACTGCCAGGAGTTTGATCCTGACCAGTTCAAGGTTGACTCAGCCTTCCGTCCTTCCAAGGTTGTTGGGGGCAATATGCTGACTCTGTAAACCACTCAGAGGGGGCTATAAAGCGCTACGAGACTGTATATAAGTCTAAGTGCTATTGCTATTTATGCCTGAAGGGACTTAAATGACAAAGTAAATGCTGTCAATTTTCCATTCTGGAAAAAGAAAGAAAATTGTTAATCCCACCCTTCCCCCTGTTTTAACTTTTTTTCTAATTACTCTTGATTGCATTTAAAGTCCAATTAGTTCTCAACACTAACAAATAGCAGTGAGTGTATCTCCTGTGTCAAGTGATGAAACACAGTGGCATACATGTCATCTTTTTTTTCCTCAATGTCTTATAATAGCAAATTTCTAATCTGCCTGGGAATGAGTAATAAGGTTTTCAGTCCATTCATTTTTCCCTAATCTTTAGAAATGCCTATGTTATTTATCCCAGATTAAAGTTCTTATGATAAACTTTAAGAGAAATGCCCCATAAATCTGAATTTTGGAATGCAACATTATGCTATGCCTTTTTGACTACAAACTGCAAAATATTATTTCTATTCTGTAATTTATCTGCCTGCTTCTCAGCTACCTATTCACTCTTCGGTGCAGAAAATTGCTACATTTTACAGTAAAATACCCATTCCATCGCTCTTGCTTCACCACCATTACATTTGTCTAGTCTGTAAGTACAAAGATCTTCAATTACGCTCAAATTGGACATAATATGAGACTAAGAATTAGACAGCAATAGATGGTAGGTAGGTAGGTAGGTAGGTAGGTAGGTAGGTAGGTAGGTAGGTAGGTAGGTAGATAGATAGATAGATAGATAGATAGATAGATAGATAGATAGATAGATAGATAGATAGATAGATAGATAGATAGATAGATACTGAAATGCAGCCACAGCAAGAGAGAAAACTTTAGGAGATATTTTGAACAAAACTGGACAATGCTTCTACCTGTAAACCTATCTTTTGAAATTGTCCATGTTTGGGTTCTTGAGAAGGAATGTCTTTGTGTAGTTTTATTCCATTTCATATGGTTAGAAGGAAGTGTTCTCAGATACCAAGCAAACATAATGGGCAGATATGGACTGATATAAGTTTGGTATTAAATCTGTTCTCTCCAATGCTAGCTCTGCATGAATGGCCCTTTCTCCAGTCAATGCCAGTCCCACCAAAGCATGCAAAGTGAAATAATACTTTCTTTTTGGTTCCTTTCCTTCTAAGTCTGTTCTGACTCCACCCTTACAGTTTTTGTTTGGGTCTCTTTCTCTATCGAAAGCTGTTTATGTGTGCATTTGTGATGACTGCCGTGTACAATTCTCTAATGATTGTCTTAATGTGCTTACTTTGGCCTGCCTCTTCAGAAGCATCTGAAAACAGAAGACCTCATCTTTAGAAAAAGCAAGAATTATATTCTGTTTCAGTAGCCACAAAAGTAAAGAGCTAAAGATGTTGATTTGTGTTTGAATATGTTGTCAGTAAGCTTTGAAAGCATGTGCATGCATCTTCTAAGGCTGACCTATCTTTTTGGCTCCCTTTTCTCTCCTCTCTACTTCCTGGTCACTCTCTAGAAACTGTTGGGAAAGAAAAATTGCCAACATTTCCCTTTTACAGTCATAAAAATGCCATTGGAAGCAACAAAGGTTTGTAATGTGTTAACCAAAGGGATTACAGTATATCTCAAGAGCATTTCATTCTGTACTCGGTAAAGAAAAGTGAAGTTAGCAATTGTGACAACTGACAACACTGACACATCAAAATGCTTGCTGGTTAAAAACGTATTAAGTGTTGAAAATTTCTCTACTACAAATTGTTGTAAAATGAAGATGAGGTACATAGAAATTATATAATAAACCTTTGCAGGAGAAATTCGAAATGTGTTGCACCAAAGGTGATTTATATTCATTTTGTTTTGTTCTATGTAACTTGATTAAAAATATGAACATTAAGCATGCAAACGTTAAAGCATCAACCCTAAATACACATATTTGGAAATCAGTTCCACTGAACTGAGTGGGGCTTGTACCAAAGCAAAACTACTAAGGATTATGCTGCATATTTTCAGTCTAGTGCACTGAATATCAACTCTAGAAGTTGGTCTTTGAGACAAGAATGTCTGCCTGTCTGTCTATCTACCTATCTAATTGTCTGTCTATATCTGTATATCTACTAACTCTGTCTGTCCGTCTGTCCGTCTGTCTCTCTCTCTCTCTCTCTCTCTCTCTCTCTCTCTCTCTCTCTCTCTCTCTCTCTCTCTCTCAAAACATAATCCATCATGTCGTGGTTCATGTTTATATAGGTAATGTTCATACGTAAGTGAATTCTCTCAATGAAAGCCTTCATTTGTAATCTAGCATATACTTAGGTTGAGAAGAAATTAGTGTAACTAACAACTGTGTGGCATGTTGCAGCCTGCATATCCAGATACATAAGTGTTAGCTCCTCTCTGGAATTCGGTGCAGAAAAAGTTTTCTAACTAGGGCATGAAGCATAACTAGAACTGAGAAATTGAGGAAACACTGTCTCAAGGTGATAAGTTTTCACAAAGGCCACTGGAGCTCCTTAAAGCAGAATGTTTTGCTCACAGCAGAATCCGACATTTAGATTTAAATGTTTTGATGTCTAAATATTCAGTAATGAGTCAAGCTCCAATATCCAGTTTGGAAAGGATGTGAAATCTCCCACACAAAAACCCTAATCGGTTGTGCTATAGTTGGAAAAAGCTGATCCAGGTACATATATGTCTTAGATATCTAGTAAGAGAAGCTTTTGCAGTGGAACTGCAGAGAAGCACAAGAGTCTTCATGGAGCTCTTTAATTGGTCAGTTGTCTTTGTAGAGGAGGTAAGCCCTCCTCCAATTTGATATGGAATTTTAAACCAACTCCATTTACATTTGGAGAGCAAGCCTATTTACGTATTTATTTTTACCCTGAAAACAGGCTTCCAGGTCCTACCACAAGGGTTTCAGCTGCAGGCAGCGAAATAAAAACCCGTGGTCCAGCAAATGCTAACAATAGGCGCAGCCAGAGCTTTAACAACTATGACAAATCCAAGCCCACAAGCCCACCCTCCCTTCTAGCAAGTAGCAGTGAGAAAGGTAAGTGAACTGATATTTTTTGTTAGTATATTGCACATGCTGTTCTCAAAAGCTGAATAAAAATCTGATCAGATTTTTTTTTTTAAAAAAAAAACACCAATTGTAAACAAATGACACGATTCAGCTAAAGTTAATCATTTTCAAGCATGTTTAAAATACAGCTTAATTTGGCCAGTAAGACCCTTTTGATGTGGTACTGTGCAATTTCTGGGAAGTTTAAGGTGTTCTCCTGTTTTCATTTTTCTTGTTCAATAAGTCTGTCATAAGAAAAGATGTGACACAACATTTACCGTATATGTATTGTTTAAGAACTGAATTATATGTTTTTCACATAGGTTAATCTGTAGGTATCAGATATGCTGAAGATGTTGGGTTTGTACAAAAACTTGGGCGTTCAGAGAATCTTGCCCTCTAATTTATATTAGAGCAAATTCATTGGTTGGATTTGCTGCATACAGGTTGTCCTTGACTTACAACTACAATTGAGCTCAAAATTTCTGTTGCTAAGCAAGACATTTGTTAACTGAATTTTGCCCCACTTTATGACCTTTCTTGTCACAGTTGTTAAGTGAATCACTGAAGTTGTTAAGTTAGTAACCCAGTTGTAAAGTGAATCTGGCTTCACTGTGCTTGTTGGAAAATCACAAAAGAGGATCACATGACCCCTGGGATACTGTCACCGTCATAAATATGAGTGAGTTGCCCAGCATCTGAATTTGATCACATGACCATGGGAATGCTGCAACACTCGTAAGTGTGAAAACCAGTCATAAGTCACTCTTAGTGCCATTGAACTAGTCACTAAACAGACTGTTGTAAGTTAAGGACAACTTGTATGAAGAATAAAACACTGTATTGAAGAATGACATGAAATGGCCTCTCCCTGATTTTCTGCCCTTTCCCAATTTGAAGGGTAACTACACCTGCTTTGTGGCCATTTTATGAGCTATTCTGTTCCAGCCTTCCATGATGCATTCCTCTCCCCTCCACATTGTCATAGCCCTTTGAATTCAAAACAAAAGTCTGTAACAATAATTGTATGTTTTGAGACCATGTTTGGGGAGGGAGAGGTGTTCAACAGTTGAATATAGGAAACTGCCTGGCACAAACATGGTAGAACAATGATTCTCAACCTTTTCTTCACCATGGACCCCCCTTTAAATATCTTTTGTAGCCACGGACCACCAAGATTTAACTCAAGATTTAAATCATAACATCTCTTTCAGCATTCACAGACCCCCTGTGATGACATCGGGGACCCTCAGTGGTCCACAGAGCACAAGTTGAGAACCACAGTGATAGAGATTTGCTCTGTCTAATCCATCTTGTAGTATTTCTTCAGGCATGTAGCTAGAAAGTTTTCCAATCCAGTTTGGACACTCTGAAACGTGCACCTATGGTCTGCAGAGAAAAATGTGCAACTTCATTCACTTATTTCAGAAGTGTTTTGTCAACCAAAAAGGTAGCCTATTGAGAATAATTACTTGCATCTAAAATTAATGCCTAGTTGCTACAATCAGATGAACAGAAAAGCCACCCTTCCTTATGTTGGATTTCTTAGAGAGCCATTAAAAGGATTAAAAAGGATTAATCCTGCTAATTCTAGATTTAGCTTTACACATGTGCTTTATTTTGTTATTAGAAATTAAAGTAAAAGTGAAGGTTGAAATGGTATGCACTGTCTGTAAGGTTTTCTATTTGAAACCAGTTGGCTGCAGTTCAACATAACTGAAGCAAATTCCTTGTTACTCTATAACCTTTCTCACCACCATCCATATAATTTTGTTTTGTTGTCTAGAAAACGCTATCAGTCCAGGGAAGTAGGAGCAGAAAATCAGTCCCTTTGAAGTAGCATATTCTTAATTAAGAGCAGCAGCAAAAGTAAACATCTCAAGTGCATCTCCGGTGTTTTTGAATAATAAATTAGCCTGTTGACTTTTACTCCCTATTTGCCATGGAGAGGGATCTTGAATGAACATGGTTTAAATTTAATTTCAAGGATCACTGAGTACAGGGTTGATAGGTGTAAATGTGCTGTTGTGTTCTATTGTTACATAAAAATGAAGAACTCATTATGAATGCAGATTTTATATGTATTCTTAAAAGGTGCTCTGTTGAATTAAGCTTACTGAAAATGTCCTTTTACTTGAGTTAAAAGGAAGTAAAATATGATGTAGTGTTTTATACATTTTGATATAATGCTAATTTCAAAGGGTATAAAAATATATTTATTGAATGCCTTTATCACACAAAACATCTTGAAGTGATTTACACAATAAAGCAAATTAAAATACAAAATTAAAATTCATTACAGTACAAATGCAATGTGATAAAATGTGATTTTCAAAAATATCCAAATTAAGATCCAAAATCAGCATAAAAATGAATATATAACTTTTTTTATTTAACAAAATTTATATAGCTGTGCAACTCACTCTCAATGACTTCAGATAGCTTGCAAATATAAAAACCCAATAAATAAAGCAATAACCTACCAAATCCCTTTTCACAATAATCAGTCAGTCAAATAAGTCAAATAAGACAAACATGGGTTTTTCAAAAATAGATCATGCCAGACAAATCTTATTTCATTCTTTGACCAAGTGACAAAATTAGTGGATCAGAAGAATACTGTGGACATAATTTACTTGGACTTCAGTAAGGCATTTGATAAAGTAGATCACAACCTACTACTTGATAAGATAGAAAAATATGGGGTAGACAGCATTACCACCAGATGGATCTGTAGCTGGCTGACTGGCCATACTCAGCGAGCGGTCCTCAATGGAACCACATCTACATGGAGGGAAGTGTGTAGTGGGCTGCCCCAGGGCTGTGTTCTGGGCCCAGTGCTCTTCAACATCTTCAGCGATTTGGACGAGGGGATAGAAGGGGAACTCATCAAATTTGCAGATGACACCAAGCTGGCAGGAACAGCCAAAACTCCAGAAGACAGGCTTAAGATACAGAAGGATCTGGACAGACTTGAACACTGGGTGCTATCTAACAAAATGAAATTCAATGGTGAAAAAAGTAAGGTTCTACATTTAGGCAAGAAAAACCAAATGTACGGGTATAGTATAGGTGGTACCTTGCTCAATAGTAGTAACTATGAGAGGGACCTCTGAGTCCTAGTAGACAATCACCTAAATATGAGCCAGCAGTGTGCTGCAGCTGCCAAAAAGGCCAACACAGTGCTAGGATGCATTAACAGAGGGATAGAATCAAGATCACGTGAAGTATTAATACCACTTTACAATGCCTTGGTAAAGCCACACTTGGAATACTGCATCCAGTTTTGGTTACTGCGATGTAAAAAAGATGTTGAGACTCTAGAAAGAGTACAGAGAAGAGCAACAAAGATGATTAGGGGAGTGGAGGCTAAAGCATATAAGGAATGGCTGCTGGACTGGGTATGTCTAGTTTAACGAAGAGAAGGAGAGGGCGGACATGATAGCAGTGTTCCAATATCTCAGGGGCTGCCACAAAGAAGAGGTAGTCAAGCTATTTTCCAAAGCGCCTCAAAGCATGTCAAGAAGCAATGGGTGGAAACTAATCAAGGAGAGAAGCAACCTAGAACTAAGGAGAAACTTCCTGACAGTGAGAACAATTAACCAGTGGAACAACCTGCCTCCAGAACCAGTGAATGCTCCAACACTGGAAGTTTTTAAGAAGAGACTGGACAGCCATTTGTCCGAAATGGTATCGGGTTTCCTGCCTGAGCAGGCCGTTGGACTAGATGACTTTTCCAACTTTACTACTACTACTACTACTACTACTACTACTACTACTACTACTACTACTATTGTTGTTGTTGTTATTGTTACTACTACTAGTAGTAGTAGTAGTACTAGTACTAGTACTACTACTACTTGATGGGCTCCATCTCATTCTAGGTTACACAGGCCTGTTGGCAAAACCAGGTCTTCAGAACCTTGCAAAAGACTGTCAAAGTGGGAGTTAATCTTGTTACCACAGGGATAATGTTCTATAGGGAGGGAGCCATCACGGACTCAAGCCACGAAAGGCTTTAGAGATGAAATCAGCACCTTGAATTGGACCAAGAGGCAAATTGGCAGTCAATTCAGCTCCTTCAGATGACGTGTGCACATCTAGGCTTGCACAAAACCATACTGGCTGCTGCATTTTGAACCAACTGAACCTTGTGGATACTTTTGAAGTGCAGCCCCACATGTAGATCATGTTGCAATAGTCAAGAGGGGAGGTGGCTTGAATATGAGTGACTATGAGAAGGGATTGATATAAAAATCAGAATCAGAATAGAGCTGGAAGGGATCTTGGAGGTCAGTCCAACCCTCTGGTCAAGCAGGAGACCCTATACATTCCAGACAAGTAGCTGTCCAGTCTCTTCTTGAAAACCTCCAGTGATGTAGCACCCACAACTTCTGAAGGCAAGCTGTTCCATTGATTAATTCACTGTTAGGAAGTTTCTCCTTTAGATCAGTGGTGAGATTGAAAATGGATGTGTTTCTTATAAATCTATATTTATAACTTCTCAGCTCGAGTTTTCTCAGGCCAGATTTCCTTCCTGATTGAATAAGTTCCATTTTCTTGTTTTCTGTCTTATTTGGGATGGCTTCACTTTTGTGGCAATTCTGGAAACATTCCTACTCATAAACACTTTAATAGCAAAGAAAGATTAGCCTACATACAAATAATGCCCAATTGGGACTGGCAACATGTGCATATTTCTGTCTTTCTCCCACCCCCTTTATGTTTTATTAAAAACAAATGAAAAAAATACACAATGATAGCCATCTTCAAAAATCAAAGACTCGTTTTGTCGGTTAAAGCATCACTTCTTCCTGTGTATGTGAAGTCATTTTCAGAAAAGTATAGTTGTCTCAGAAAAGCATAACTTTCAGAAAAGCATAACAAAAGAAAGATTTCTACCTAGATGTAACAAAGTAGTTTTAATCTTTTTTTATACAGTGCATCTTCTAGTCATATTGGGATTTTAGATTACTAGAATTTGTCTA